GAGGGATGGCCTCCAACCTAAGAGCGATGGCCTCCAACCTAAGAGCGATGGCCTCCAACCTAAAAGCAATGGCCTCCAACCTACTATAGCGATGGCCTCGAACCTAATAGCAAAGGACTCCAACCTAATAGCGATTGCCTCCAAGCTAAGAGGGATGGGGAGAAGTCTGTTTGGGAGTCGGGTTGATTCGGGTTGAGTGTGGAAAGTGCCGCAGGCGGCTTTTAAACTTTGGTCCGGTTGAATCGCATGATAAGGACACCTCAGGACACCGCCACAAAGACTTGAAAAGCATGTTAGAGTTAGAGTAAGGAGTGGAGATTGCCAAGCGACATGATGACACGGCTTCGTCAGGACTGCCGTGTGCTTTGCTCTTTGCAGCGCGAGTTGCCCCCCTCGCGGCCATCTTTGGTAGCTTTTCGGGCAATGTGTTCTAGCCAGACACGGCGCGTCTTGGCATGAGGGCGAAGTGAACATCCGTATGGATGTTAGCGATGAGTACTGAGCACCGTCACTTCACCTGGGCATTCAATGCTTCAGCATGCTTCAGCCATGTTGAGTTCGGGCTACCCCCAGCAACCACATCCCAAGCATAGCATCAGAATTTACATCCCATGACCCAGGACAAAACTTAGGGATGCATGGTTAGAAACCGTGGAGATTTGACCCTTCCCTGGCCTGTTCGTCTATCCAAACGTGTTTTTGACAACATGGCACGTCACGTGGATGGACCTTCGGCCTTTCTCTTTTGTGTTTTGTGTCCTTTTGTCCTTTCTCTCAGTCTTCAGGTCTTCGAGCAGGCGGCATTTTCTCCCTCTTCAGTGAGCTGATGCAAGCCAGGTGCGAAACCTCATCCCCAAGGAATCCATACCAAATTGAAACCTGACGCATGTATGGGGAGGTGGAAGAATCATGAAGAATAATGAGTCATGAGTTATCACTTGAGTGGTCAGCACTACTCATGTCATTCAAGATGAGCGCTACCGAGCACAAGGTGGTGGTGTATGGATGGTGTAGGCCCTGTAGTAGGCCCTGTAGGCATCTCGCCTTCAGCATCTACTTTACCTTCGACTCAAGCGGCCGCACGGTTTTCGCTGGCGATGGAGGGTCTGGTGACGTGGAATCTTGGACATGTTTTGGTGGAAACAAGTGCATCGCTACTAGGAACAAGGGCATCGCTACTAGGAGCAAGGGCATCGCTACTAGGAGCAAGGGCCTTACTACTAGTAACAAGAAGCTAATAGAAACAATATATAAATTAGAATTTAATCAAAATTAGTAGTAAGGGAGGCTACTAGGACCTTTTCGCGCGCGCGCGTACTAGGAGCGATCGGACGCTACTAGGGGCTCCTGGCCTTGCTACTAGGAGCAAGAGGCTACTAGGAACAAGGGCATCGCTACTAGGAGCAAGGACGCTACTAGGAACATAGTTTGTGGAGAGTGTGAAGGTGTTTCTCCGACGGTGCTCAAGCCTTTGATTTTTAGACCCCACATCATTGAAGCACCGATCAATGCTGGCTGCTAGAAGTGGATATGCAAAGAACACGCTCACAATTCTTGGAAAGATTGGTTCTCGTTTCACTGATGGTGATTTGCGTCGCTCACAGAGGGCAACATGCACGGGCAAGAATGCATTTGAGCGCTCACAGCGGGCTCACAGCGTTCGCCGCCCAGGCTTTGGGACGCTGGGAGGACCAGCAGTGGTACGAATTTATGATCCACTTCAACTGGTTTGAGAGGAAGGCATCGGGTGGCAAAATTTGCTACTAGTAGCTCCTGGCCTCACTACTAGGAACAAGAAGCTACTAGGGGCAAGCAGCTTCTAGGTGGAGGCCATCGCTACTTGTACTAGTAACAAAAAGCTACTAGTAGCTAGAAGCTGGAGAGAAAGGCATCGAAATTTGCAATGTTTTAACGCCCTCGGCTTTGGTTTTCACCTCGAGCTGCTCTGGCTGTGCCAATGTGAGCCTTAGGATATCTTAAGATGGGCTCTCCACAATAGGGGCCTTATGGCATTGCAACGGGGGTTCTTACGTTGGACCACATGGCCCTTCAAGCATTTGATGATATTTGATGATATTTGATGCTTGCAAGGCAGTTGTTTGCCTTTCCGAAGTTGGCCAAGTGAAAAGGGAACCAGGCGAGGAAGCTTGATTCTTGTCAGTTCAGTCTGGGAGTTCAGTGCATACAATGAGTGAGGAGAATACGCAAGGTTCCACGGTTCCACATGGATGAAGGTCGGACAGAAAGGCATCCAACCTAAGAGCCATGGCCTCCAACCTAAGAGCGATGAACCTTGTGGATTTAGTGGACTTACTACAAGAAGTGCAGGTATTGGATAGAGAGGTTGGGAAGAAAGACTCGGCTGCACTGTGGTTGATTGAGCCTGATTTGAACAGGATGCATTGTGGACCTCTCGCCGCTTGACAGCACCCGTGACCACTTGCTGTTCTGATGGCATTTCTTTGTTGATGTTTTAATTCGGAGGAAACCAAGAAAGGCAGAAAGGAAACACTAAGTGCACTAAGGGTTCATATAATGTCCACATACATAAGACTCAAAAGAAAAGGACCAGAGGAAACATAAAGCATACTTTGCTGTTTCCTTGAGTTGCTGGTGTTGCAACCTCGCGGTGAACTTTGTGAACCTTGCACATCAACGTTTGCAGCAAGTGCAGCGTGCTTCTTCGCAATGGAAGAATTCGCAATTAGCACTTCAGTTCGGTGTCGTGGCAGGTACAGCAACGAGGCTAGTAGTTATGTTCCTTACTACTGGGAGCAAGAAGCTACTCGATTCACCTGTGGGGCCAATCACCAGTGCCCGAGCGCTTGGTGGCTCTATTGACATGTTTAAGAAACACCCGATGCAATCAACCCATGCGCGTTATACAGAACATGTTGATTGTGCTTTAATTACTTGCAGAAAGTTCCATGCTGGCGTTTTCCTAGATCGCCAGAACAGTTCTAAACGGTTCCAAAGGTGTCCAAAATATCCAGAATCATGATTTAATTTTTACGATTTATGTCGTTCAATACTTTTTTGAACCAATCACTTTTCTGGGTTTTGAACCCACTGAACACTTCCAAACGGTTCCAGTGATTGCTTTTTCTTGTGTGTAAGTTGCTAATTCTTGGGAACTTATATATTCCTCTTTTAAGCAAAAGATATGTTATGGGTAGCCGCAAATTTTATGTAGTTACCAAGTCACAAGTCATCAACCAGGAAAGAAACAATTAACGTTTAGTTTAGCAAATGCCTGGTTTGGTAAAGAGAAACTAATGTCCATTGTCACATGGGATGTCCTGAGAACTTGGAACTTGAGAAACTTCTCTCTCTCTCTCTCCTCTTTGGTGAGGAGTTTTTTGTCACTGTGGGCACTTCAAGTCCTACCTTGCGTTGAGCAATGTGGCAGCAAACTATCCTGGACACGAAGGAAAGGAAGTGAGTCAGAAAAAGAGGAACGAAAATAGCTAGCCTGCTGCCTATAAGGAAAGTGTGAAACCTGGAAATCGAGCACCAAAGTGGGTGGGACAAAGAGGAGCACCACAAGGCCGAACTATGCTGGACATTCTGCAAATTCGTAAAACTGAGAGGCAGAATGGGAAGGATAAAAATGCCACGGAGAATACGCACGCAGTTGGAAAACGAAGGAGCGGAAGCAAGTCGAGCAATGCCAGATTTTCTAGGGAAGGAACCTCCATCACGCTTTTAGAAGTTGAAAGCCTTCTGGATATTTCTAGATGGTGGTGATGACTAACTTCTAATGCACAGTGGATATTTCAACATGTTGATTCTCCAAGGGCTATAGGACCAACTGCAAATCACTGTGCAAGAAATGAAAATATAAACACACATCATAGCTTTGACCGGTTCTCGACCTGGCCAAATTCTGCTGAGTAGAGAATGAATTTCTTATGAATCTCATGACATACTGTATTTGATTGGCTATGGGATTTCAAGACTGTCCACCCTACTTCCTGCTTCGCTTGGTTTGCAGGCTGCAGGCCCTGGAGGTTTGTCCACACTTTGAAGCAGGTTTCATGGCTGAAGGTTTCTCAGTAGTGAATCAGTCATAGGCATTGGTCAAAAAAGGTTTATGTTTTCACACGTACACTTAGCATATGATAATGTGACTTTGACCGCGTGAGCCCATAGTCAACCCGAAACACATATTATACATTGAACTAAATACGAACGACGCCGACCATACTCTACTACAGCATTCAACCTGGCAAGTAGCATTAAAGAGAAGGAGGCTGCCAAGCACAGAAATAAGAGGTCGAGTTAGGAAAGTGCTGACAAGAAAGACTAATGATTTAAACAAACGAAAAAAGGGCTTGGCTTGTGGCTAGAAGTTGTCCGTTGAACATAACGTTTAATTAAACTTGCCAATGATAGTGTCATGAGTTGATAACGACCTTCAATCATAAGATGTCATAAGATACCTTACACAGTGCAAAAACACACCTACAGTTTCATGCCATATTAGGCAAGCTATGGCTTTACAGTATTCAAGGCCATTACAAATCATTTTCTGAACGCACTGAGAATCGTAATGCAACCCGCAACTGTTCCCACAAGTGTTGTTTTGGGCCAAATTTCCCCAGCAGGAGAAGAACATAGTTCTGAGTAGTTCTGGGGTACCTAAACAGAAACACATGGATATAGAGGATGGGGTTTAGACATCAAAGAGAGGTATGAAGAAAGAGCTGGTGCGCAGTGTAGCTGTCAGTTGTTTCGGTGGCGTAGCTATTGTAGTTCCTTCACAATGGCTAAGCCCGTGCGAATTGTCACTGAAGAGATGTTGTTATCGGCGTCAGTGTCCAGTTTGTTGTCCTGAATTGCTGAACAGCGATTAAAGGGTTTTGCTATTTAGGGTGGGCGTGCCTAGGCAGCCACCAAATCATTGACATGATATAAAAAGACTAACAAGCATGTGATCAGTTGCAAGAAGCTTTAAACGCCCGCAAACCTAATCAGCCCATTAAGTGGTGCTTTGGGTGAGTTCATGTCAAGTAATGTGCACTGTGTGCTTTAAGGGAGCGTTTGTGCATAGTACAGTAGTCTATGATATCATTTCTGAACAGTGAGGGCTTTCAACACACAGGCACCACTCATTTCCGACATATCACAGTTGTGCAGCACCTCTCACATGGGTGCTATCATGTGTTACCTCAACAAAGCATGTTGTCAAACAGGCCCTTTTCGGGGGTGAACTCCAGTCAAGAGCAATGCTGTTGTCGAAAAGCAGAAGCTCTTTTTTGTGGTTCGTGCGCCGGATCACAATTAGCCATTGCTGTATAAGAAAAATAAATATACACAATGTCATACCTCAACCCCAAACCACCCATCAAACTCCAGTGTCCTCGCATAGACCTCAGCATAGGCCCCACTGCCAGAATGTGTGCGGCGTCAAGCTTTGGCATGCGGCTGAAGACTTCGAAGCTGCCTGGACCGACCTGCTGGTCTACGACCGAAAAGGGACGTGACCGTTGACGCGTTGACGTGTTGCGTTGGCCACGTTGACCGCAGGGTGCTCGCATGTATTTCCAACGTCGCATAGAAGTTTAGCAGCTTAGCTGACTTCGTACTAGTAGATCTAGTAGCTAGAAGCGACCCATCGCTATTAGGTTGGAGGCCAGCGCTACTAGTAACAATCAGTTGACAGGTATGGTGAGAGTACTGATACAATCAGCATGGCCACCGCCAGTCTAAGGGCGTCATGGAGAGGCGGGACTGCCACCTTGTTTCGCACCTGGGAGGTTGTTGGCCATCGCAACTAGGAACAAAGGGCATCGCTACTAGGAGCAAAGGGCATTACTACTAGTAGCAAGAAGCTACTAGGTTGGAGGCCTTCGCTAGTAGGTTGGAGGCCATTGCTATTAGGAACCCTGGTGCTTGGGGAGTTCGCGAGAATGGGGTCGCCTGACGGTCCGCTTTCCTTCAATTACTTTGAATGGTGGATCAAGGTGCATCACAAGATGCCAGCGCAATCGTTGCACATATTTTCAATGTGCAAACGGGGTAGTTGGACATAAATGGGCCTTCAATCTCCAATTGAGCAGCTTCAAAAACCTCAATGATGAAAAGTGTGCAGTTAAACTGTAATCTCACATTCTTTCGCGAAGCCAAAACGCAGGTCGCGAAAGGTTCGCGAAAGCCCCGCGAAAGAACCCCAGAAGAACAGCGTCGCGAAAGCTTTCGCGAAAGTCGAATTTCTTGTGCATGTCGTGTTGTTTATGTGGGTGACCATATTTTTATGCAGGCAGCCGCAGCAGGCCAGCCGCAGCAGACCAGCCAGCAGCAGCAGCAGCACTGAAGAGCAAGTGTTTTCAGGCGAAAATCGAAAAGCCCAGACGAATTTCCGCGATAGCCTCGCGAAAGAACCGGGAAAGGTATCTGGCCCCAGCAAAAAGTTTCAGCAAGTTTTCCTCCTCTTCTGATGACAACAATAATACTTGAACGGTGCTGCTACAACTCCTTGTGCCAGGATGCTGCCGGAAAGAAATTTGTTCAGTTTTGACCACCCTAAGGACACTTATATCGGATAACTTATATAGATCAATCACTTTATTGTACAATATCCCAATCGAATTTCCCAATCGAAAACGAATCGCCGCGAAAGCCGCCGCAAAAGCCCCACATAACACCACACCTTCCGCGAAAACCAGAATGCAGGCCGCGAAAGCTCTGCGAAAGCAAACCTTGATTATACAAAAAAGATCAAAAAAGTAATAGGGGTTTTAACGGGGTTTTCGAAGCTGCTCAATTTTTGCTGTGATCAGTCAGGCCCAAAGTTTCACATCTCAATACCGCCGCTGTCGCGGTTCTTATGCCGAGCGCAGGCTAGATTTTCTCACCTGAACTTCAGCCAGCGATCAGCCATGTGCCCAGTCGCGCATGCTGAGTCAGTCCGAGGAAGGTCCTGGAGCTGTTGAAAACATACACTAAGACAGAGACCTAAGATGACTACAATAATTAACATAATAATGATACAGAATGACAGAATGACTAAGACTAAGACAACAAGATGACTACAAGATTTTACAAGAATTAACAGACAGAAGTTCGCTTCGCGCAATCTTGGGCTCAACGCATGGAGGATGCAAGTAGCACAGGCAAAAGCCTGTGCCTACTGAAAGGGATCGGAAAGCAGATACTGTACATCACACTCTTCCACGCACGGGGAAGTAGACCCTTGCCAGAATATTTTTCGCACACTTCCGGGCCGCACCCATTGAGCGTGATGAAAGGGATGAAAGGAAAAGGAGATGCACAAGGACCAGGACACCACAGCCTTATTGACAGCACCTTGTCTGGAAAGAGTACATGAGTATATATTTCTTGCGCTGTGAGGCCTTCTCACATTCCAAGCGGAGCGATCAACGTTCCAGAGATAAAGGAAAAACCCAAGAGGCCTCCAACCTAATAGCGATAGCCTCCAACCTACTAGCGATGGCCTAGCGATGGCCTCCACCCTACTAGCGATGGCCTCCACCCTACTAGCGATGGCCTCCACCCTACTAGCGATGGCCTTGAACCTGGTAGCGATGGCCTCCAAAATTGTAGTGGTTTCAATGTTCCAGAGTGAAAGGTGGCACAACGTAGCCCAGCCGAGACACCATATATCAATCAGCGGCCAAGATAAACGAGCCGTTGGGCGTTGCTCACAGTGTTGATCACTCTCCCATCCCAACTGGGCGGATCAGACCCCACCCCCAAAAAATGTTAAAAACGTTACATCAAAGAAGTTTTCTAAACTCAAATTATAGCAGTATAAAACTCAAAAAAACGTGTTAAAAAAACACAACAGACTACCACATATAACCTCATTCATTTTTCAAAATCATAACTACTAACCATTTGGTACCTCTTTCATTTTTCAAAATCATTACAGTGAATACATAACTATCTCATTCATTCCACAAAATCATCACTACTAACCATTTATTACCTCATTCATTCCTCAAAAAATCATAGCTACTAACCATCTATTACCTCATCCCTTTTATTGAAATCATAACAGTCAATACATCATCACCTCATCCATTCCATACCCAAAACAAAACAACCCAGCAACAAACAAAAAACAATCCAAGCAAAGAACAACATTTAAACAAAAAACAATACAATAGACAACAATATAGCATAACCCCACACCTTTAACAATCCAATCTCCAAATCCATAATTCTAATAGATGGTATTAGAAATATGTTAGTAGTAAATGTCTTCAATAACTGTTAACTCAAAATTCAATGTAATACTTCATCTATATTATCTTCATCTACGTATTCATCAAGGTCATGCATAAAGTAAATCTCTATAGCTACATTCATTTTTCCATATTCCTTTTCTGGGAGTTTTGCCATCAATTGAACTTCAATATCAAGTTTAACTCTATAATTTAAATCATATTCTACTTCTTCATAAATCAAAGATAGTAATTCTTCTTGTTCTTTTTGTTTATCTTCTATACTGTTCAAACTAAATGACACTCCCTCTCTCATAATACAGTATTCAATTTTGTATATGTTGTTACTTGATTTCAAATGTCTTGTCATTTTAGGACTAAGTCTTGAAATCTTATATGTGTTTTGTATTCTCTTCAATGCTTCACTATGTGTTATTTTCACATATTCAGGTTCTCCATGAATATATAATATGATACAATATTACTCAATACATTTATTGGCAAATCCTTCATACAGTCCATCCACTAATATACTTAACTGACTAATCTTTAAGTAAATAGTCTAAGAATAATATAAGGCATCCGTTTAAAAAAAAAAAAAAACTACTTAAAGATAGATTAAGTAAATAAAATATACAATATTATATGATGAAAACAATATAGACTAACGAAAACAATATAGACTATTTGTTGAGTAATGATTTAGCAGAAATACCAAAAAGAGGAAGAGAAGAATTAAAGTCCATAATCATAGATGAAAATAAATTCAGATACAACAAAGACACACCCATATCAATTGTTTTAACAACAAAATTACTATCAGAAAAGAACACTAATGAATACAGAAGTTATGCGTTAAACAAGGCAAAGGGTGCTTTCAATGAAGGAAGAGTAAGACAAATACTGACCAAACACGCAATCAGAAACAAATTTAGGGTCAGAGATGTTCAATCAGCATTTAGAGCATATGCTAATTCAATAGCTTTAGAAAATAAACACTTTGAAGGAGAAAGAGGTTTAGAAATGATTGCGCACCAAAAACAAAGACCATTAGAGTTTTGAAATAATAAAAGCATGAAACTTAACATAAGAACACACGGATTTTTTGAAAAACCTGAATATGATGATGGAGGAAATGAAATTGGTAGTCAAGAACTTGTGTATGCTTTACCATCAACATATTATACAATTCATAATGAGGATGAACTGACACAAGCATTAGAAGATAGTGTTAAACAAATCTTACTCCAAATACAAAATCTTGAAGCATCAACCTCTAATTTAAGGTTCAAAAAGATAATATCAGTTAAGTAGTATACTTTTGTTTTTCACTAATACATAGAGATAGTTATTATCTTCATCATAGACTTTTAATAAACCAAATTCATATTTTGCATTTCTGTTTTTAGTGCATCTATGTATGATAATCTTATTATCATTAAGGCAGTCATTAGTTTCAAAACCATTTATTGAAACTAGTTTGTTGTTTTCTTCAAACCTGTCTATGTGCCCATTACCAGTTGGAACTTTTACACCATCCCAGTTCAAAATGTCATCATTCAATTTGTTATAGTGGAACATTTCCTCTGGGTGATGTTTGCTTATTTGGTCAAAAACTATGGATTGGATACAGTACTGTCAAATTTGTCATGGTGAATAGTGATTGATATTATCTTTTTAAATCTTAAATTAGAGGTTGATGCTTCAAGATTTTGTATTTGTAATAAGATTTGTTTAACACTATCTTCTAATGCTTGTGTCAGTTCATCCTCATTATGCATTGGATATTATGTTGATGGTAAAGCATATACAAGTTCTTGACTACCAATTTCATTTCCTCCATCATCATATTCAGGTTTTTCAAAAAATCCGTTTGTTCTTATGTTAAGGTTCATGCTTCTATTATTTCTTAAAAACTCTAATAGTCTTTGCTTTTGGTGCGCAATCATTTCTAAACCTCTTTCTCCTTCAAAGAGTTTATTTTCTAAAGCTATTGAATTAGCATATGCTCTAAATGCTGATTGAACATCTCTGACCCTAAATTTGTTTCTGATTGCGTGTTTGGTCAGTATTTGTCTTACCCTTCCTTCATTGAAAGCACCCTTTGCCTTGTTTAACGCATAACTTCTGTATTCATTAGTGTTCTTTTCTGATAGTAATTTTGTTGTTAAAACAATTGATATGGGTTTGTCTTTGTTGTATCTGAATTTATTTTCATCCATGACTTTAATTCTTCTCTTCATCTTTTTGGTATTTCTGCGAAATCATTACTCAACAAATAGTCTATATTTTTTCAT